TTGTGACTTCTTTTACTGCTTTTGGAATATGTAGAAATTGCATTTACATTCATTACTGATTTCAAAAGGGGAAGTCCTTGTGCTGTTATATTCTTACTGATGAGTTTAGATTACTACTCATTGGATGTTCTGTTGTTAGTTCTGGGTTTTTTTCTTTTTCATTGGGTTTAGAGCTTTATTTCTCATCTCCTAGTTTGACTTCTTAGATAATTCTTGCTTGTCTAAGGATTTTTTTTTAAAAATCAAAACATTAAAATTCAAATTCAGGATTGATAGTAAGAGCTGCTAACTTTAAAAAGTTTCACAGAGGTGAAAAGTCTGGTCAGCTCACTCTTAGAACCAATTGTATGACTTGTAAGCTTAAGAAGTGGAAAGAAAGAATGAAAAGAAACAAAAAAAGGTGCCAAAAGTGTGAGGAGTTTAGGGAGAAAAGGGAAAGGGGAAAAACTAATTGTTATTTTGAATTACTTGTAACCAGAAATGTATCAGTTGTTAAGGGAGTTACTGATCTCCATATCTAAAATGAATTCCCACAACAGATGATGAAGATGTAATAGCAAAGTTAGTTATCAGAACTTTGTAATATAATTTAAATAATCTGTAAATGGTTTAAGAGACATATAGCAACAAAATTTCTGAAAGAATTGTCTAATTTGTGTAACTTTGTCATTGAAGAGAAAAATTAATTTTTTACATTCATGTTTGAAAGATTACTTTGCCTTGAGAATCTGTTCACTTGGGCTTTTATCAATTATAGATCAAGTTCAAGTATTAAAAAAACCTCAGAGTAACTAAAAAATTAAATATAGAAATTATTTTCATATTATTGGTTCCAAAAAAACAGCTGATTGGGCTTTATATTCATTTATGGGAAAGTATTAACTCCTTTGCTTTGGACTTGATGCAAAAAAAATGTAATAGACTTATAAAGCATTGGGTGATATTCTTACTCGTTTGAATACCTGTTAGTTTCAAGAAGAGCAACTGTAGGTAACCTGGACTTGATAGTAAGGGGAGAGAGAATCCTTCCTAGTGCCAGGTTCCAGCCCAGACGCTGTCTGACTTTATTCGTAACTTGTCTGTCCCTCAGACTCAGAGTCCTCATCTGTACCATGAGGTTAGACTCATAAGGTATATATCTTAAACACTTAACATTAAAAGTATTGAGTATCGCTAGTGTTAGTTTTATATCATTTTCCCTCTGAATATATTACAGAATTTACATAAATTAATTTGAACATTAAGCATCTTTTTAATCTAAGTTGTAGTAAATACTTTATAGTTTTGTGCAGCTCAGAGTACTGTTATTTAACAATTTTAAAGTAAATTTATTTAAAAATTGAACTTGATGAAATGAACATGGAGGAAAATAATTTATGATGTCCTATTTCTCAAGATTCTGTATGTGTTCAGTGTATTAAAGCTTTTTTCCTTTCTTTGCTAGTTATTTATCAGAAAGTCTGATGCTGAAGGAGAACAGAACTTCCTTGTCACAGTTACTAGACATAATGAAAAGTAAGTAAAACTTTATAAAATGTTCTATTACAAAACTACTTTCTCTAAATCAATAACATCTTGGTATTCACCTTGAGATAACATATAGATTGTTGTTTAGATTAGACTTTTATTGAGTTATTTATCATGGAGGCATGAAGGGTACATTGAGGAGGAACAAATAGAAGGTACATGAAAGGAAGTAGTTTTCACACATACAGAACTTTTAGGAAAGTGAAAATATAATCAGATTCAGCAAGGGTTGAGATTCAAAACATGGTTCTTTTAAAGTGTACCCAAATATGGGCACTGCAAAAGATCTAAAGGAACAAAAGGCTAATTAAATTTGAAACTTTTATTTTGTAGATTAATCAACTAATTAATATGTGTCATTTGCCAGTAATTTTGTTATTTGATATTACAAAAGCCATGGTTCTCAACAGGGTATGATTTTTTTGCAATGTCTGCAGACATTCTTGGTTGTCTCAACTTGTGCATGGAGGTAAGAGAGCTGCTAAACATCTTAAAATTCACAGCACTGCCTCTTGGTAGGCTGAGAAATGGCTCCCCAAAGATACCCACATTTTAATTCCTGGAAACTGAATATTACTTTACATGGCAAAACTTTTTTAAAAAGTCTTTGCAGATATGATAAAGGTAAGGATTTTGAGATGAAGACATTATCCTGGACTGTCCAGGTAGGGTCTAAATGTAATCAAAAGAGTCCTTTTTAGAGCAAGGCAGTGGGAGGTTTCACACAGAGAAGGAAACGTGAAGACAGAGCAGAGATTTGAAGATATTGGCCTTTAAAATTGGAGTGATACGGCCACAAGCTCAGGGATGCTGGCAACCCCCAGAAGCTGGGACAGAAACCTCCAGAGAGAGAGTGCCACTGCCAGTATTTTGATTTTGGCCCATTGAAACTGATTTCAGACTCTCAGGCTTCAGGACTGTAGGAGAATCCATGTCTGATGTTTTAATAAGTCTTACTTAAGTAAGTTTTGGTAATTTTTAATAGCAGCCTCAGGAAACGAACACAGCTTCTCACAACAAAGAATTGTCCAGCCAAATTGTCAGTAGCATCGATGCTGAGAAACACTGTCTTAAGCGTTCAATTAGACTCTCCACTAAATCAGTTGGCTAGATGAGCCGGTCCTCTCCATTCTGTGTTCTTGGTCATGTCACACTGAATGCTTGTGGCTTCTAGGCTTCTCTTTAGTTAGTTGTGTTTGCTTTCCAAAAATTTTGTGCCAGGTGTCTTATTAATGGAATTTGTGGTTTAAATACTGAATAAATCAATAAAATATGAGATTGAAGATGTAGATCTTGGATGATAGTAAATGGGTGTACGTCTATGTTTTATGTTTTGAAAGTTAAGATGCTTCAGGACATACAAGTATCATTTCTTGATTCTTTGCTTGAAATGACCTTGAGGGCTTCCCTGTTTCATTGAGAATGACGTGGGTTTGTGATTTATGAAATCATAAAACTGTAGGTTTTCAGTTATACCACTAGAGGGTTCACTTCCAAAGCTAACTGATTTGACATATATATTAGGTTCAGGGAATTTAGTAGGTAGAAAGGGTCTTAAAGGTAACCCACTGTGCTCTTTCTATGGCTGACAGCTTTTATTACTGATGTCATTTCAGTACCTTTATTTCAGTTCACTTGTTTTAATAAGAAATAAGACTAGCTCTTGATAAAACACTGAGCTTTAATGATATTAAGATACTTTATTCATAATTTTTCAGACAAAGATACTGTCCTAAGAGTATTGAGTCACAAACATTAATTCAGTTGAAAACACTGTATTATGTGCATTATGAAGTAAGTCACTCATTTGGAGCATGTGGCTGGCTAATAAACCCTGAATCTCATCATTCCCCTGTAAATCTTGAGATTTATATTCTTTGGTTTATTGTAAATGGACCAGATAGAGGATGTTTTTGTGATTTTAAAGTCACTGATATAGTAGTTTGCTTTTAGCCTAAAGAAAACATTTTTATTTTCCTGGTGATGCTTCATTATATAGGTCCTGCATCACATGTTCCGTAATAGTGGTTTCCTTTGTAAGTAAGCAGCACACTTGGCCCACCATCTGTAGGAGAGGGTGCTGTGAATGTGGCTGGTGGCAGGGAACAAAGCATGTTTACTGAATCATGTGGGGTTTTTTTAGAAGACTTAAAAACTGAGCAAAAAGTGACAATGGTAGGATTTGAAAAAAAAATACTAGTAAGAACATGCTTATCTTCATGCTGTACATGACACAGGCTAAGCAGCAGGCAGCTACTACACCTTGAAGTGTGGTGGTCATTGGGTTTTAATGTGGAACAATATTAAACCTGATAAAAAAAATCACATTTTAAGAGTGTTTTGTTCTTGTTCCTAAAATTAGATTGGAAAATATTATTTGACTTCCTTATGAGAACAAGCCTTTTTATTATCTGGTATAAATCTTTTTTTTTTTAATCTCCCCATAGGCATGAGAAACTTGGTGAAAAAGTATGAACCACCGAGATCTGAAGAAGTCGCTGTTCTGAAACAGAAGTTGGAGAGGTGTCACTCTGCTGAGCTTGCACTTAACGTAATTACGTGAGTAGATGTGACACGGTGACTCAGGAATAGAGACAACTGCCACTGTGTCTGGTTGGTCCTTAAATCATTTAAGTGGGAAAGGTTTGCTCACACTGGGAAACTGACTTACCCATTAAATCAGATTTTTTTTGTTTGAGTGTACATTTCTAACAGGATTAAGCACATTCTAACAGGATTAAGCACAAAATACTCAAGAATTTGGCTTTCATAGTGTATTCCTCTTCCTGCTATGACTAATGTGTTCTTTGGCTTGCAAGCCCTGACCTGTCCTTTTATTCCTTGTGGGATCCCCTGGGGCAGTCTTCCTAGGGAATTCCTGAACCTTTTCTTGCCCTTTTAATCTTTGGGTTCTCTGTAGGTCTGGTTATCTTCTCTGAAGAACAAGTACACTGTTCCAGGCTTATTTCTGTTAGCTAGGGTAGGGAAACTTGGCATGTTTTCTCTCAGTGGTAAGCTTTATACTCAAGACAGAACCAGTAGGAAAATGTGCTGTGAGCTCTCTTCTTGCAGCTGTAAGGAACACTGTAACGTCTCATTGATGTGTAGGCTGAATGGGGAAATCACCATATTTAGGCTCTCTGTGCTTTGAGATTTGAAGGATCTACTTTAACCTTTTAGGAGTTTAAACAGTTGGGGGTTTGTGCAGGTAATAGAAATGGTAAAACTGTTATTTTCTATTTTCTGTGGATGCATTCTGGTTCAAAAGTTCTAATTTATTTAGAACTTTATGAGAAAATTTAGTGGGAGTTAGCTCTGGCTTCTTACAGTTGAGATGCATTTGAGCTGTTTTTGATCTCTATAACTGGTGAATATATGCTACTGGATAATACATGAGAAGCCAGAAACAGCATTCCAAGGACTTGAGGTCAGATACAGGACTCAGATTCTTTAAAGTTGTAGTGGAGTATCCAAGGACTTGTGAAGTGTGTGAAATATGGGACTATTTTATTAAAATTGTAGCTATAACTGCAAAACATGGCTTAGCACAGAACTTAAAATTGGTAATTTCATTCTTGGGTTTCAGTGGTAACTAAGAGGAATGAAGGAGAGTTTACAGAAAAGTAAAGGAAAATGTTGACTTCAATGAATGAGATTACTGCAGCAGTGATTATGATATTCTCACACTGATTTGGAAATGGGCTTAGACCAGGGGTTGGCAAAGTATGGCCCATGGGTCAGTACCTGTTTTGGAAAATTTTATTGGGACATAGATGTACCCATTAGTTTGCATATTGGGTATAGCTGTTTTCACTCTGTAGCAGAAGAGCTGGGTTGTTGTAACAGAAACTACATGGCCTACAGGGCCTAAAATATTTACTTTCTGGCCTTTTAAAGAAAATTTTGTCAACCTCCACATTAGACCCTTGATCCTACCCCTTCTAGCTAGGTAACTGAATGAAGCATAATCCAAAATTCCTGATTGCCAGAATTGACATCTTCCTCCAAGTGACCATCTGCTTTGTACCATGTAAGTCCTGCATTATCTATGAGTACTTGAGTGGTGCTTCTCAAACTGTCTGTAAAGGACTGTTGGTATTCATTTTAAGCCATTATAGACCTCTGCGTTTGTAAAATATAACCACCAACAAATTACTGGAAAATGAAATCTAAAAGACGTAAAATATAAGGTTAAATTTTATTAGATTCAACAGCCATAAATTAAATAATTGCTATAAAAATTTCTAAACATACAGTCAGGTTCTGTACTTGTCTCATTGCACACTGGAAATGGTTCATGGACCTGCACTGGTGCATGGACCACACTTACAAGCACTACTTTAGGATGAAATATGTTTTCCCTTGGTCTTTAAAATTCTCGTATCTTTTTTCAATACAGAAGTAGTATATTGTCAGTATTAAAGTCAGATAATACAGGTAAACCAAAGTTCTCTTTGACCAAAACGCAAATCCCAGTTGTGACCTGAGAGGTAACTTATAGTTGGTGTTTACCTTTGTCACGCTTTACGCTGTGCATGTGGAAGTTTTCATTGTTTCCATACATACCGTACAACATTAACAGAAGCAGTTTTAACTTTCTCCGATCTGGGTGAAAAGGTAGTATCCAGTTGATACTTTAAATTTGTGTTTCCCCTATAACTAGAAGGCATTGATTTTCTGTGTTTAACAGTCATTATTGTATTGCTTAATTATGACCCCTGCCCAGTTTTCTGGTGTTATTTTCTTATAGTTCTTTATATATTTTATATACTCATCTTCTTACATATACATCTATTTTCTGTTGTTTCTTTCACTTTGTGATATAGGAAGTTTGTCTTTTGTACTCTTAACATTTGTATACCTTTTCTTACCTAAATTAAGATGTATCTTATTTTTGCCTTTTATTCAGCTGTTAAACATACTTAGAATTGTGACTGATATGAGATAGAAATCTCATTAATTTTTGTTCAAATAAGTAATCTGGTATACCAGCCATTTTAAAATATTTTATAATTTTCTCTAGTTAATCAATTACAGATTAAATCCCCATATATCCTTTGTTTTTTGCCTATATGCTCTGATCATCAATCTGTGTAATTCTTTGCTAATACAGTCAAGCACTCCGTATCTGTGGGCGCAGAGGGCCGACTGTACTATTGCCATTTTATGTTAAGGGACTTCAGCACCCATGAATTTTGGTATCTGGCAGGGGTCCTGGAACTGATTCCCACAGATACCTATGAGGGACAACTACCACACTTTTAATTGCCATAGTTTTTATATACACACATACAGAATTGATAAGTTCCACTTAATAGAATTGCATTGAATTTAAAGAGTAATTTGAAAGATATACCTACAAGCCTGGATAAATGCAAAGAGATGAAGAATTATGGACAGG